GACTCCAGCACCTCACCAGCACCCGCGCCATCAGTCACGGCACTCACCAAACCCTGTGCCAGCGCTTCAGCCGCCGGCATATCCCTACCGGTGAAGGCCAACTCACGGGCCAGCGATCGGTTGCCCATCAACTTAGGCACCCGTTGTAACGAACCCATATCGGCGGCCATACCTATGCGCACCTCACGTATGGAGAAGTAGGCGTCGGCCGAACAGTGGCGTACATCAGCTGCCAGTGCCAACACCAGACCAGCGCCAATACAGGGGCCGTGTATGGCCGCCACCACTGGCACAGGACACTCGGCGATCGTGTTAAGCGAGCCTTGCCATTGTCGGGTCGCCCGCCGGATGTGAGCCCCTCTACGCGATATGTCTGTAGGGATGTGAGCGGGTTGAGTGGGCTCGGCGTCGCCATGCTCGGCCATGATGTTGGCCATCGTGTGAGCGGCGATGCCCTCCTTCACGATGGCCGACACGTCGCGACAGTCCATACCGGCTGAGAAGCACTCACCGGCGCCCGACAGCACCACCGCCCGGCACTCGGGGTCTGTGCCGATGCGGTCAAAACAATCGACGATCTCCTGCAACATTAAACGTGAGACGGCGTTGCGTTTGTCGGTCCGGTCGAGCCGTATGTGCCAAATGTGCGGCGCCGGCGCTTTCACATTAATGGTCTCGTACCAGTGAAATTTGCCACCATGTGTGCACATGTAAGTGATGCGCGCCTTTACGCCACTGGTCGTTATGTGGCGTACGATTGCCGCCCCACTGGCCGTACGGATCGGTAGTATCGCTCTTATTATACTCATTGTTGTTGTGATCGTTGTTTTAATTACAGTGGTTATTAGTTTTTGGATTATATTGTTATAAAACGTGGTCACTTTTTTAAATGTACTAGTTGTAAAGAATAAGTCGATTTATAATAACTTTTAATTTATTTTATTTACAAACACAATTTATAGAAAGTAAACATGTATTAATTTCGCACAAAATATAGACAATGACTACAAAGGGAAGACATTTTCATGTGATTACTGCATGTGTTGTATAGTTTGGGACAAATAGAGACCAAATGAGGACCAAAAGGGGGTCACTTTAGCCCACAGTTAATGTTTTTCTGGGAATGAGTGTACAGTAGATATGCTACTTTTTCCAAGCACATGCTACTTTTGAAGCACAAGTTAATTCACATCTATTGACACATTTATCACTTACTCTCTGTATTACAAGCAAATTAGGGGACAATTTTATAGCAGGGATTTCTCCAGAGATTAATTATTACTCAAATATAAAATTGTAATTCGCTAAATATTTTATTTATAAAAATTACAGCAATTTAATCGCAAATATAAAAATTAAACATTAATTAAATACATAAAAATTAGATTAAAAAACATAAACCACAAGAATCTCTTTAAAAATATAAAACTCGATCAATAAACACATTAAAAATCACTAAACTTTGGCGGTTCCTTAGCGCGGGTGGCCGTAGCCGTGGCCGCAGTGACCAGATCTTCACTCTGGACCATAGCCTGATTCCAGACGGCCATCCACTCCAAGCCGTCCCCAATCGAGTGTTCGTCGCTATAATTCATCGCCGCTTTCGTGCCCTGAACTGCGACCGGACTGTTGGCCGCTA